TAGGGTTTGCTATATGTATCCTCATTGCTGCTAGTGAAAACCCTCTTCTTTTGCCTAAAAAAAAAAATAATAATAATAAAATGTTAGAAACACTAGGAGTGGGGCCTAGGCTTAGTAGCCTAGGCCCACACTAAGAGGTAGTAGGTTGTGCCCTAGGACTAGGGTTTGGGGTATACGAAGGAGAATTGGAGAAGAGGAATGAAGGAGAGGATGATTGAACTAGCAAGCAGGTTGGTACAAATAGGAAACCCTAAAGGGGTTGTACTCACTATTGAGCACCCCACTGCAGGCTAGACACATAACATAATCTGATACACCCCCATAGCCAAAGTGGGGTGTAATCAGCACAATCAGCAGTCACAGCAAAAGTTCACAATTATCAGCAAAGCTAGAGGCTATCACAGAGGGCAAGTGAGGAGGAGGAGGAACTGTGAAGGGAGAGAAGAGTGGAGACGACGACTGAAGCTGCAGACACACGGGCAACAGGAGCGCGCACACAGTGGCTACCGGGAAAGCGCCCCGGACTACTGGAGTAACTGGCTCGGCGGCTACGAGGAGCGGCAAGAGCAACGGACCCACGGGCGACAGGTGCAGCAGGCTCTCTGAGCTACCGGCGACAAGCGCCCCGGACTACAGGTGCTGCAGCCTCCTCCAACTGTCCCACACCCCCCTACACACATCCCCTGTTTCACCTCTAGCTCCACTCCCACATCACCCCCCTAGCGCCACTCCCTCGGCTCCCACACCTCCACCCCCCTCAGCGGCAGCTGCAGCAGTGGGAGACGAAGGAGGAGGAAGGGACGACGCACACGGAGCACCCCCACACCCGCCACCCCCACACCCTCCTGTCCAGGGGACGGGGGGGGGGGGGGGGGGGGGGGGGGGCAGGAGCGGCGTAACAGAACAGGGCGCACGAGGGCGCGGGCAGAGTAGAGCGCACGAGGGCGCAGACAAAGTAGAGCGCACGAGGGCGCGGGCTGCAGCAGGGCGCACGAGGGCGCGGGCAGCAGCAGGGCGCACGATGCACGAGGCACGAGGCACGAGGCACGAAGCACAAGGCACAAGGCACAAGGCACAAGGCACGAGGCACAAGAGAGTAGAGCGCACGAGGGCGCGGGCTGCAGCAGGGCGCACGAAGGCGCGGGCAGCGCGGAGCAGGGCGCACGATGCACGAGGCACGAGGCACGAGGCACGAAGCACAAGGCACAAGGCACAAGGCACGAGGCACAAGAGAGTAGAGCGCACGAGGGCGCGGGCTGCAGCAGGGCGCACGAGGGCGCGGGCAGCAGCAGGGCGCACGATGCACGAGGCACGAGGCACGAAGCACAAGGCACAAGGCACAAGGCACGAGGCACAAGAGAGTAGAGCGCACGAGGGCGCGGGCTGCAGCAGGGCGCACGAGGGCGCGGGCAGCAACAGAGCGCACGAGGGCGCAGAGAGCACGGGCAGCACAGGCACGGGCAGCAACAGGCGGCACAGGCACGGGCAGCACCGGGCAGAGTAGAGCGCACGAGGGCGCGGATAGAAGTAGAGCGCAAGAGGTCGCGGGTGAGACAGAGCGCACGAGGGCGCAGACAGCAGCAGAGCGCACGAGTAGCAACGGGCGGCACAGGCACAGGCAGCACAGGTACGGGCAGCACAGGTACGGGAAGCACAGGTCTGGGCAGCAACAGAGCGTATGAACAAAGGCGGGCAAACGAACAAATACACGAGCAAAACGAACGAACACGGAGCGGGCAAGAAATGACACATACAGCACGAGAGGAACAAGACTGCGGGTGACAGGAAAAGGAGGCGGCTGCACCGGGACCAGGAGCGGCGTCGCATGCAGCTGCAGGGTCGGCGCCGTGGGCTGCTGCAGAGGCGGCTGCTGCAGGGGCGGCTGCTCGGGTCCAGGGGCAGCTGCAGCAGTGGCGGCTGCTCCAGGGGCCAAGGGCGGCTGCTGCAGGGGCGGCTGCACCAGGGGCGGCTGCTGCAGGGGCGGCTGCTCCAGGGGCGGCGTCGCGGGTCCAGGGGCGGCTGCACCAGGGGCGGCGGCTCCAGGGGCGGCTGCACCAGTGGCGGCTGCTCCAGGGGCGGCTGCTGCAGTGGCGGGCGGCTCCAGGGGCGGCTGCTGCAGTGGCGGGCGACTCCAGGGGCGGCTGCTGCAGTGGCGGGCGGCTCCAGGGGCGGCTGCTGCAGTGGCGGGCGACTCCAGGGGCGGCTGCTGCAGTGGCGGGCGGCTCCAGGGGCGGCTGCTGCAGTGGCGAGCGGCTCGAGGCGCGCCCTGGCCTGGCGCAGCCCGTACGGGCCGCGCGCGGGCCTGGCGCAGCCCGTACGGGCCGCGCGCAGGCTGTACGGGCCGCGCGCGGGCCCTACGTAGGTCGCGCGGGCCACGACGGGCGACGGGGGGCGACGCGCGGGTCCCCGTCGCCCGTCGCAGCGCCTCCCGGGGGCGACGCGCGGAGTGACGGGGCAGAAAGCCGCCGCGCGCCTCGGGGCGCACGGCGGGCAGAAAACCGCCGCACGCTCCGAGCGCGCGGCGGGATGAAAAATCCGTCGCACGCCACGGGGCGTGCAACACACAGAGTAGCAGTAGCAGCGGAAGCAGTAAGGTGGTGGGCCCATTGAGGTAAGCGGCAGGAACGTGCTCGCTCTAGGTACCAAGTTAGAAACACTAGGAGTGGGGCCTAGGCTTAGTAGCCTAGGCCCACACTAAGGAGTAGTAGGTGGTGCCCTAGGACTAGGGTTTGGGGTATACGAAGGAGAATTGGAGAAGAGGAATGAAGGAGAGGATGATTGAACTAGCAAGCAGGTTGGTACAAATAGGAAACCCTAAAGGGGTTGTACTCAGTATTAAGCACCCCACTGCAAGCTAGACACATAACATAATCTGACACACTTAGGCTATGGGGGTGTGTCAAATGTTATACCCTGTTGTGGGTCATGCTATATGGGGTACAAGCAGTTAGGGTTAGGCATATGTACCCCAACCCAATCAATCCTACTCATTCCGCTGTTTTCACTTATTGAGAGCCACTTGGAATTTGTTATGAGGTGTAAGAAGAAGGGTGCGCAGGATGCAATATTGCGGAAGTGATTTCAACTACTGTTAGAATAATGAAACCGGCACAGATATAGCGAAAGCTAGGTAGGTCGAGGTCGCGAGACCGTGCAAGGTTGGGTAAAGGTTTGGGGTTGGAAAACCCGAAGGCGACGCGGTGTACGTTCGGAAGGCGAGGTCGGCGGGCCGAGCCTGAAAACTCCGAAAGTTGGAATTGTACGCGCATGGTGTGCCTCAATAAGGAATTAGGCAAAATTCCTTACAGAATTGAATCAGATGGTTACTAGATTTGAAACGTCCAACACTGGATTATAACGAATTTCCTCAACTGACCATTATTATAAAGAGTACAAGCATTTTAGATGTTCGATTTCGTCACTCCTATCCGCGTTTTCTCGTCAATTTCCCCAGTACACCTGATGCCTGTTTGAGCCCCTCCCGGTTGCCTTACGAAGGGGGCGTATAAGCTGTCACGAGCATTTCGCATAAGTTTCGTCAATTCGCAGCTAGCTAAAAAGGATTCGCATGTGCTTATAAACAAGATCTGTAACCTAGTTTGACTTCAGTCTCTTCTGCTTGACTTCGGTCTGTACCTAGTTTGACTTTGGTCTGTTCGTTACTATTGGTTGATAACCACGCGACGCGCTTGTAATGTAGGTGCATAAGGCTGGGGAAACGACCTCGGGTGCAGCGTATCCATCCGGCGCAAGGCAAATTCGCGTGCATGGGGTGAGCAACAGCTGTATCTCCTCAGCACCACAGTTCTTGACTCTTAGGTCTAACTTGTGTTGAGCTGTTCGTCTCGTCTAATCTTAAAATTGGTCCGCACCGCTGCGGCAAACCAGTAGGACTTGCGGCGCATTTCAGGGTCGCATTTCAGAATCGCCTTTCATATCGCATTACAGAGCCGCTTTACGGGGTCGTTTCAAGGGCTGTCCTGGCACGGGGTAGGGCAAGGTGCAGTGGAGGCAGGCACATAGGACAGGACACGGGTCGGTTGGCAATCGCATCAGTAGCACCGACGGATGGAAGCGGATGAACAGTTCAATTCCTTGCTGCAATATCGGCGGCGCGGGGCTTCGCAGAAAGGGGGAGAGGCGCAGTTGCCGGCGGAGAAGGTAGCGACGGCGGAGAAAGGGGAAGGCGTGGAGGTGGGAAGCGCGAGAGAAGGGGGCGAAGGAGGAAAGCATGCGCGGATGTGGCAGGAGGATGTGGCAATGCGCGTAAGCACCATGTTGAGCGGCGGAAGGGCAGGGAGTGGCATGATGGGCGGAGGGGCGGGGCAGGCCATGGGTGGAGGGGAGGGTAGCGCGGAGGAGTTGACTTTAGAGCAGCTGATGGGTGTGAGCCGATGGTGCCTGCTGTGCGCCGTGGAGGTTGGCGTGACGCGGGATTGGCGGATAAGATTGGGGAGATGGAGGAGAGAAAGAGGGAGGAAGAGAGGGAGAGAGAGGAAGAGAGAATTAGGGTGAGAGAAGAAGAGTGGAAGAGAGTGAGAGAGGATGAGAGGAACAGAGAAGAAGAGAGAAATAGGGTGAGAGAGGAAGAGTGGAAGAGAGTGAGAGAGGAAGTGAGGATGAGAGAAGAGGAGAGAAATAGGGTGAGAGAGGAAGAGTGGAAGAGAGTGAGAGAGGAAGAGAGGATGAGAGAAGAGGAGAGAAATAGGGTGAGAGATGAAGAGTGGACGAGAGTGAGAGAGGAAGAGAGGAAGAGAGAAGAAGAGAGAAATAGGGTGAGAGATGAACTGTGGATCAAAGTGAGAGAGGAAGAAAGGAAGAGAGAAGAGGAGAGATATAGGGTGAGAGAAGAAGAGTGGGGGAAAATGAGAGAAGAAGAGAGGAAGAGGGCGAGGGAAGAAGATAGAAAGAGAGTGATAGACGGAGAGAGGGATCGAGTGGGAGAAGAAGAGAGGTGGAAAGTGGGAGAGGAAGCCGCGATTAAGAAGAGAGATTTGGGGATGAAAGCGAGTGAGGCTCTAGCGAGGGCAAAGAGGCTCGAAGTGGAGCTGAAATCAGCATTGAAGGAGGCAGCGAGGGCGGTGGCGGGATTGGAGGGTGTTGAGGAGACGGCGGGGGAGATACTGCAGCAAGCAGCGCTGCTTCGCTGCTCCTTGGAGGCGGATACGCCCTCTCAAGCCGAGGCTGGAGGCGGGGCTGTGTCCTACCGAGCCGCATGCAACCAGTACCAGGATGGCGCCAGGGCAGCACGCAAGCGAGCTCGCATGGCGGATGACTCCGCTGCTGCACATCTTCAAATGACTACCACGAGGGAGGTAAGGGCCACCGTGCATACCATCACCTATTCGATTGGCCCATCCGATTGGCCCATGCCATTTTCCCATTCCCATATACCATTGCCCTATTCCATCCCTCCATCCCGTTACCACATCTCACCTCCCCATCCAGCTTCTAAAACCCATTCCACCATCTCATCCCCCCTCATCCCATTCCCCATCCCATCCCCTCTCATCCCATTCCCCATCCCATCCCCTCTCGTTCCATTCTCCTGTCGCTACTTCACTCGTTCCTTTCTAGCCCCTTTGCATGTTGCCTCCGGTGTGCTCCCTGGCAGCACCTGGACACCCTGTCAGCCCATGCAGAGGCCGTGAGAGGGAAGGCGCAGGATGTAAGGAGGCAAGTGCGTGTGCTGTGGGAGAGACACGTGTTGGGGGTTGGGGCGCAGGATGAGGAAGAGGATAGAGAGGAGGAGGAGGTGGAGGAGGAGGAGGAGGAGGAGGAGGAGGGGGAGGAGGAGGAGGAGGAAGAGCGTGAGGATGAGGAGATACGGGTTGCAATGGAAGAAGTTGGTGATGGTGATGACCTGGCACAGGTGAGCATTACAGAAGCTTTGTTCCACATTAGCGCTGCGAGTAGTGATGGGAGCATTGATGAGAGTAGTGATGAGAGTAGTGATGAGAGTAGTGATGAGAGGAGTGATGTAAGTAGTATGAGAGTTGTGGGTGATGAGAGGATGAGAGTAGTGTCAATGAGAATTGTGCACCTCAACTGCTCACTCATCTCTTGTGATGCTTCCGTTCCGCGTTTTTACCACGTTGTTCCAATGAATGCAGCCACTCACCTCTAAACCCTGTGCCGGGGCGCGCCTCACAGCAGCCAGACTCGCTCAGCGGGAGCGGGTGGGGGCTGGGGTCTTAGGCGGAGGTGCTGGTAGGTCCGTGAATGGGAGGCGTGAGGGCAGGGAGGGAGGGGGGAGCAGGGCGCGGGCTGCAGGAGGGGAAGGGGGAGGAGGGGCGGGAATGGCAGGTGGGATGGACGGAAATGGAATTCAAGCACAGGCAGTGCAAGGGGGAGGTGGGGCGCAAGGGAGACAAGGGGCACACGGGGGGCAAGGGGCAGTGCCGACTGAGGGTGCGGGAGTGGGACCAACTCTGGTGCCTAATGCGCTGGACGTTGCTCGAACCATCCAGGCGATACTAGAGCGAGCAGAGGAGGACCGGGCGTACCAGGAGGAGTCACAACAGCAGCAAGCAGAACAAGAGATTGAGTCCTACGCAAGCACCTTCCACTGTCCACACAGGCGAGACACCGAGAGAGCCAAGATGGAGGCGGTGAGGGAGTTTCTGTCAGCCCAAGATCCAACCGCGCAGCACCTCACCATCTCAGGCCCCGTTTTCAGCGGCAAGTTTAGCAGCAGTTTCCACCATCTGCGTGTGCTCGCTCCCCACGTCTGCCCGCGCCTCTATGCGTGCCTCTCCTCCATCACCCTCTACCGCCTCTCCGTTGAAGACCTGTCCCCTTTGTGCGAGCTGCCGTCTCTCACCTCGCTCTGCTGCCTGGAAGCCACTGACACGTGTGACTCGTTTTATCCTCTGCCGCCCCTCTCTCGGCTGCACCGGCTTGTCCTGGACTGCCCAGGCCCTATCCACATGGATGTTCTCGGTCTCTACGTTCCTTTTGACCCATATGGCCCGATCAAAGTGCCGTTTGCGAAGCTGAGGGAGCTACATATCAGCCGTGTGGACGACTCGGTGCTGGGCGAGGTGGGCGAGTTGAAGCGCCTGGAGGCCTTCTCCTGCACGTGCAGCGAGGGAGTGACGTTCCACGGCTTGAAGCACCTCATACGCCTCTCCAGCCTCACAACGCTGCAGGTGGCGCCAGCCAACCTGGAAGACCATCACCTGCAGCTGCAGTTTCGAAACGACTCCCTGCATGTTGTATCCAGAGTTGGCCTGCGCCCCACTTCAAAGTGCAAGCGCAGGTGTGACTGTGGCGTTGGGCTGAGAAACCCCATGTACCCGTGCGTGGATAGCAGTGTGTGGCAGGTGGTGGGTGCGATGCATGGCGTGCAGCAGCTTGGGGTGCATGGGGTGGCACGCAGTGATCACCATCTGCTCGCCCTCACCGCACTCACACGCCTCACCACGCTCCACATCACCGCCACTATCCTCACAGATATCGGATGCATCAGTTGCTTTTCCCAGTTAAGGGATCTGAGGCTGGCTGGGTGCACCGTGGATGTGGCTTCACATGTGAGGGAGTGGAGCCACAGCATGCCGCACTTACAGTCCCTGGACCTATCAGCTACGCGAGTCAGCTACAAGCTCTTCTCTCGGCTTTTTCTACTAAAGTGTTTGGAGCGCTTAAAGGTGCAGCAGTGCTGTGGGCTGCGTGCCACGTTCCTGCAGCAGGTCAGTCTAGTGCCGCAGCTGAAGGAGCTGGATGTGGGCTTTAACAATGTGCAGCCAGGATGGTTGAGGCCAATAGTGGATGAGAGGCAGGTTACCCGGCTGTGTGTGCGCGAATGCGGGTGGAGCAATGAGCAGTTGTGCATGGTTAAACGGTCGTGGATTGATGTGGAGAAATGATATGCAGGGATGCATGGCATATGCTGGGATGCACGGCATATGCTGGGGTGCATGACATGAGTTGGGGTGCATGGCACGTGCGATGAAATGATGCATGTCAAAGTGAGGAGTTTTTCATAGGATAGGATAGGATGACTTTAGCGTACCGTAATTTGTACCGTACCATCATGGTACACCTCTTTCAAGTTTGCAACGTCCCAAATTGCAAAACGCTCGTGCAAACCGTCGACATCAAAGTTCAACCACATGCCTTGCAAATTGGGCCGCGGGCTTCAATATATGGCATGACACATTCAACTCCCACCAGCAAAACTTCATCACCACCATATATACCACATAGCTTCTGAAACAACGTCACAACACATCGAATCCACCCAGCATGTCACTTGTTCCGCCTCTTGCGCCCACTCTTGTCACCACGCCGCCGCTTGCTCTTGGTGTGCCTCCTCTCGCTGCTGCTGTCACTCCCACTGTAGTCCCCCTCACTGCTGCTGCCATCACTCTCACTATCATACCTTCCCCTGTGCCGCTTTTTCCGCGATGCCTTCTTCCTGTGTTTCTTCCTCCTCGCTGCATCCTCAGATTCCTCACTTCCTGAACTCCCACTGTCTTGTCTCTTCCTCCGCTTCCGTCGCTTCTTTCCCCCATCAGTCTCTCGTGACCGTTTCTTGCTCCTCTTCTTCTCCCCCTCCTTGCTCCTCCTCCTCCCCTCCCCTCCACCAGACAAAGAGCCTGCACTGTCCGAGTCAGACCGCGACGTTGCGGATGATGACGACGATGTCGTCAGCACGCGCTTCTTCCGCTTCACAGCACCTGCTGCCTCCCCCGCGGCACCTGGAGCAGCAGCAGCAGCAGGAGCGCCCCATCCTTTCCCCATGGCACCACCTCTCGTGCCTCTATCTGCATCACCCGTACCACCTGCACTGCCTCCCTGCTCACCCTCCCTCACATGTGCTTCACTCCCGCCCCTTCCGCCTGTCATGTTCTCCCTGCCTTCCCCTGCTTGTTCTGCCCGCCCTGCTGCAACCGCACCCCCTGCACTGCCTGCCATGCCAGAATCATTACCCCCCCGGCCCCACACACCACCCACCTGCTCCTTCCCTGCCCTTCCCTTCCCCGCCTTACTCTCCCCCTTCGCACCCTTGCCACCCTCCCTCTCCCCGCACCGCACCTCGCCCCCCGCCCCGCGCCTTACATCCCCCGGGTCCACCTGCAGCCCCAGCTCCTCGCCCAGCCCCTCCAGGAAGTCACCCGCCTCCAGCCGGGCCAGCGCCCGCGTGGCAGCTTCTGCTGCTGCCACGTCATCAATGCCACCTGGCGCTGCTGACGTGGCACGAGCATCGTCGTCGCTGTCTTCATCATCTGAGAAGATCGCCTGAAACGTGCCGAGAACGTGCTCAGGCAATAGAACAATGGGGGGAGATGATATGAGGGTGACAAAACAAGTGTCAACATTCGCAACAGAAAAGATTGATGTTAGAAAAGGAGGATAAATATAAGGGCAGGCGATGGGAAGGCAGGCGATGGGAAGGCAGGCGATGGGAAGGCAGGCGATGGGAAGGCAGGCGATGGGAAGGCAGGCGATGGGAAGGCAGGCGATGGGAAGGCAGGCGATAGGAAGGCAGGCGATGGGAAGGCAGGCGATGGGAAGGCAGGCGATGGGAAGGCAGGCGATGGGAAGGCAGGCGATGGGAAGGCAGGCGATGGGAAGGCAGGCGATGGGAAGGCAGGCGATGGGAAGGCAGGCGATGGGAAGGCAGGCGATGGGAAGGCAGGCGATGGGAAGGCAGGCGATGGGAAGGCAGGCGATGGGAAGGCAGGCGATGGGAAGGCAGGAGATGGGAAGGCAGGCGATGGGAAGGCAGGCGATGGGAAGGCAGGCGATGGGAAGGCAGGCGATGGGAAGGCAGGCGATGGGAAGGCAGGCGATGGGAAGGCAGGCGATGGGAAGGCAGGCGATGGGAAGGCAGGCGATGGGAAGGCAGGCGATGGGAAGGCAGGCGATGGGAAGGCAGGCGATGGGAAGGCAGGCGATGGGAAGGCAGGCGATGGGAAGGCAGGCGATGGGAAGGCAGGCGATGGGAAGGCAGGCGATGGGAAGGCAGGCGATGGGAAGGCAGGCGATGAGAAGGCAGGCGATGGGAAGGCAGGCGATGAGAAGGCAGGCGATGGGAAGGCAGGCGATGGGAAGGCAGGCGATGGGAAGGCAGGCGATGGGAAGGCAGGCGATGGGAAGGCAGGCGATGGGAAGGCAGGCGATGGGAAGGCAGGCGATGGGAAGGCAGGCGATGAGAAGGCAGGCGATGAGAAGGCAGGCGATGGGAAGGCAGGCGATGAGAAGGCAGGCGATGGGAAGGCAGGCGATGGGAGGGCAGGCGATGGGAAGGCAGGCGATGGGAAGGCAGGCGATGGGAAGGCAGGCGATGGGAAGGCAGGCGATGGGAAGGCAGGCGATGAGAAGGCAGGCGATGGGAAGGCAGGCGATGGGAAGGCAGGCGATGGGAAGGCAGGCGATGAGAGCAGGCGATGAGAAGGCAGGCGATGGGAAGGCAGGCGATGGGAAGGCAGGCGATGAGAAGGCAGGCGATGGGAAGGCAGGCGATGGGAAGGCAGGCGATGGGAAGGCAGGCGATGAGAGCAGGCGATGAGAGCAGGCGATGAGAGCAGGCGATGAGAGCAGGCGGGAGGGGGCCACCTTGAAGAGATCCATGGGGCGGTTCTCCACCGCCTCCGCTGCTGCCTGCGCCTCCCCCTCCTCCCCCTCCTCCTCCCACGCTTCCTTGCTCTCCCCTCTCTCTCGCCCTGTATCATCCTTCCCTCCCCCAATCGCTTCCCTCGTGTGTCCCTCCTCGCGCCCCTCCATCCCCCCATCACGCCCAGGACGCATGGCAGGCGCAGCGGGAGGAGGAGCAGGGAGAGAGAGGAGAGACGAGGGGGCAGCAGTGGGGGCTGGTGCGGCGGAGGGGAGGGTTTGGGGGAAGGAGGTGAGGGTGTCGAGCTGGGAGGGGCGGTGGAGAGGGGGGGGAGGGGCCTGGCGTGGAGGGACCAAGGCAAAGAAGAAGAGAAAGGAGAGGGAGGAAAGCAGTGTGAAAAGGTCAACAAGTGGATCAACGTGTTGTCCTGTGACAGGGTTGACTGCAAAGAATCGAACGAGTGTGCGGCGCGCAAGCAGATTGAACCATTCGAGTGAACAAGTGGCCGGCAGGCATGCCAGTGGGACCAGCAGGGAAGAATACGTGCGGGCAGGAAGAAGGGGAGTGGATGTGTGGGAAGGGGCATGGAGCAGCAGAGAAATCTGGTGGCAACCAAGCAGAGCCCTGCTGCACGACCACTGCTGCACGACCACTGCTGCACGACCACTACTGCATCAAGGAACTGTTGCGACAAAACGATAACACAAGGCTTCCAAACACGTGACTTGTCTCTGCCTCACAGGCTTAGCGAGAAGATCAGTGTCACAGCCTTTACTTTGTCTCTGTTTCCCGGTCAGCCCGTACGCACTTTGGTGTATTTTCACATACATACTTCCAAGGTACATATGAGATGCCTAACGCAGCTCACAGGGTGGCACGACCATCTCACCTTGCCCGCGTACGGGTCAGGCAGGTTGAATCGCTTGCACAGCAGAGGCAGCGGCCTCCACGCCTCCTCCCTCCGCCGAGCCACCACCACTGCTGCCGCCCCTGCCACTGCTTTGTCTGCTCCAGCAGGCAGTGCCGCCCCCTCACTGCTCATGCCGGCCTTGCCCGCGCGCTCCTCGTGCCCGCTGCTGTGGAAGCGCGCCGCCATCATTGCTGCCAGCTCAGCCGCCGCCCCGTGCTGCTGGAAGGCCGGTGCCGTGGGAGGGGAAGGAGCGGCAGGAGAGGCAGACGGTGCAGCAGGAGGAGCAGCAGAGGTGGATGAGGGGTGCGATGATGGAGGCAGGGCAGGGGGTGGCAGGGAGGAAGGCAAGGGCTGCTCGCCCAGCAGCACGCCCCGCGCATCAGGCCCCAGCCGCTCCCCCCCACTGCTCTCCACCGCCTTGCGCGCTGCTGCCCTGCCCTCTGCGGCCTTCTGCCTCTCCATCAGCTCCCACACGCGTCGCCGGTAGTAAGCGCTGCCCTCCCCGCCCACCAGGAACGCCAGCCGCGCACCCCCACGCGCACTGCCTTCTCCTCCACCTTCCTCCCTTGCGCCTGCGACCTGCGCGTCCCCTCCCCCTCCCCCCGTGCGGGACAGAAGCAGCGGCTCGACGTGCGCCCCACAGCGCGCCACCATGCCCGCCACGCCCTCCACCGCCGCCCGCACCGCCACGTCCGCCGGGGGTGGGGCTGGCGGCGGGGCGAGTGCGGAGGGCGCTGGTGAGGCGGAGGGGGGAGCGGAGGAGGGGAAGACGTGGTGGGGCGTGAAGGAAGGGGGCACGTGGGGGGGCGGGTACCTGGATGGGGGGGTGTGGAGGGGAGGTGGTGGGGAGGACAGCACGTGTGAAAAGGTGTGGTTGGTACACAGTGAAGCAGCGTGAGTGGAAGTGAACGGGAAGTTGCAGGTAAGGAAAGAAGCAGTGCGGTGGGCAGGGAGCAAAGCATGTGGTGGGCAGGAAGGCACGCGGCAGCAGCACACTTTGGGATGCAGGCAGAGCAGGAGAGGCACGCACATGCGGGGCAGCACATGCGGGAGAGGCAAGCACATGCGGGGCAGCACATGCGGGGCAGCACATGCGGGGCAGCACATGCGGGCGGGGCAGCACATGCGGGGCAGCACATGCGGGGCAGCACATGCGGGGCAGCACATGCGGGCGGGGCAGCACATGCGGGGCAGCACATGCGGGGCAGCACATGCGGGCGGGGCAGCACATGCGGGGCAGCACATGCGGGGCAGCACATGCGGGGCAGCACATGCGGGGCAGCACATGCGGGCGGGGCAGCACATGCGGGGCAGCACATGCGGGGCAGCACATGCGGGGCAGCAGGAGTACCATTTGGATTCCTCCAGCGCCACGCGCCCCTCACAGAAGCCCCGCAGCACAGTGGCACCGCTCCCACGGCCCTGCCCCACCCCTGCCATCCACGGCATGCCTTGCTGCACCCCTCCATGCGCCCCCTGCTGCCCAAGCCTGCCTGCAGCCATGACGCCCCCTCCAGCAAACACGCGTGGCCCCTCCCCCTCCCCCTCCCCCTCGCCCTCCCCCTCGTCGTCGTCGCTCGCCACCTCGTGCAGCTCGCCCACCGGTATCTCTGGCGCACAGGGTTGGGGGAGGGTGGGTGGGAGGGTGACGGGATGAGGCACCGCGAGTGCGGAAAAGGGTGCACTGGCGGGGGGGAAGAGGAAGATACTCACAGGGTAGCATGCCACCATATGCAGTTAACGCCTTCCCTTGCTCCCCAGCCTCATCCCATCCCACCACCACACACGCTCTCGCTACTAATCACCCACCACCACCGCACAGCACCGCACAGCACGCACAGCATCTCACCGGAGTCGTAGATATCCTCGTCCTCAGCCCCAGCCTCCTCGAGAGCACCAATGCCAAACCCCCCCGCCACCCGCCCGCTCCCCCCCGCAAACAGCGACTGCCTGCTGCCGCCTGCCCTGCTCCGCCCACCCAGAACCCTCTCTCCAACCTGCTGCCCTCCCTCCCTCGCTCCCCCTGCCATCCTTTGCCTGTGCTCTGCTCCCACTCCCCTGAGAACAGAGGGGGGCGAGGGAGGGTGGAGAAAAGGCGGGAAGCAGGAATGAGGGAGTTGCAATGAGCAGTGTGAGTGAAACAGAGAGCAAGTGGAGCTTCAGCGGACCTTGTAACCATGGCAAGATTTGGAAAGCGCTCATTGCAAGTGGGTAGTCATCGGACAAAGAGTACCCACTTTCTCTCCCTCTCATACTCTCCTCCTTTTCTCTTTGCCTTGCTTCCTTGCTAGCACAAAAACCCTATCTGCGCGCCCCACCACCCCCCTGCGCGCCTGACCTCGCACATCCTCAGCGCCCTGGAAGGCGTTGAACCCCACCCCCCGGGTGTCCCGCTTGGGCGCCCTCAGCGCCGCCGCCACCGCTGCCTCGGCTGCCGCTGCCGCTGCTGCCGCCAACGCCCCCCCCTCCTTGCCGCCCCTCGTCCCCCTCTCCTTCCCCACCATCCCCCCTCCACCCCACCAAGCTTCCCCTTCCTCGTTGTCCTCCTCCCCCTCAGCCTCCCCCCCCTCCTCGTCGCCTCTCCCCTCGCCTCGCCCTCTCCCCCCTGCTGCCAGCGCCAGCATTGCCCGCCGGCCCTCGCGCTGCACCTTCCTGGAAGCTGCCACCTCGTCGGGCCCCAGCCCCCTGCCCTCCCTCCACCCCATCCTGCGCAGCAACGCCTTGCCTGCCGGGGGGAGGAAAGGGGAGTGGGGTGGGGGAGGGAGGGGGGTAGGGAGTGGGGAATGGTGGAAAGAAAGGCGGGGTTGGAGAGACGGTGTGTATGTGAGCACTGTGCGGTTGGCAAAGGCAGGGCAGGGGGCCGGGAGAATGTGAAGAGCGAAGGATTCAAGTACGAAATGGGTGGTGATGGGCGTGGGGTGAGTGGGGTGGGGTGGGGTGGGAAGCGGACCCCTCAGTGCCGTGCTAGCCCTCTGTGAACCAAGTGCCAGCCCACCACCCCATACACGCCCAGCCCAGCAGCCAACACGGCCAACTGCCCCCCTCTCGTCCCCCCCCCTTCGCGCGCACCGATGGAGTGAGCAGCGGGCGCCAGCAGCTCCGCCACGCCCCCCCCGGGGATGGCGGAGGGGCGCCGGTCCGCGGAGGAGGCGAGCTGGCGGGCGCGCTCAGCGGCGGTGAAGCCGAACGTGTCGAACGCGCTGCCAGCCGCCACGGCGCCTTGCTGCGCGTCGTGTCGCTCGTCGGCGTCCATCAGCGCCTCCACGCTCTGCTGCCTCACCTCCGCGCGCTGTGAGCGCGACGAGCGGAACGATGCAGGCTGCCACCCTGGGGCAGCCGCAAGAGGGGTTTGGGGGAAGAGGGGGTTTGGGGTGTGGAATGGGGGAAGAGTGGGATGAGTGATGCTGCCGTCGCCCCCTGTTTGAGTGATGAGTGAGAGCAGAGGTGGGTTTGCTTCACCTCGCCCCTCGTGCCGTTGAGCGCACCACCAAGGAGGCAGAGCGACGAGCAGGAGGGGCAAGGATGGCAGCAGGCGGCGGAACAGCTGCCGCGACGCCTAATTGCGCGAGATTTCGAGACATATGGCAAGCGCGCGGGAGATGAACGCGCGCATGGCGGCAACGGCAAGGCGTAAGTGCCTTCCCTGCACCCCTGCTGCTGCTTCCTCTCATAGTAAGCGCGAGTACCTTCCTTGGACCCCACGGTGTTGAAATACCCCGCGGAAAATCCCCCCGTGAACGCGCCGTGAAACCGCCGCCGGCCCTCCTCGTCGCGCGCCTCCTGCTGCCACGGCGGCACCGCCTGCTTCGCGCGCCCCTCCGCCACCGCCAGGTGCAGCTTGCGCCCCCCCGCGCACTCCGCGCGCTCCAAAGCGCGCCCGAAGTACACGCAATCCTCGCCGTCGTCGTCCATCCTCTTCCAAGCTCAAGTAGAGCAATTTCTATAACGATCAGCTCAATTCGACAGCCAAGATAAGGCGCTAGATTGCGAGCAATAGGGGCGCACTGACGGTCACATGGCGCAGGTCGCTTTCTCCTGTGCCTAGCTAGTGATGACGAGGCCTAATCATCAGCGCTATTCGTGTGGACACCGCAATCACATGAAACCCAACCAAGGTTCGCCTTGCTAATTCAGTTCGCAGTTAGTTCATTTTAGGGTGATGAACCGAATCGAACCATATTGAACCGTACAAAACCCCCGATTCTTTTCGTACCGACTTTTGGTGAAAAGAATGTAATATTGAAAGGGTGATATATTGCAAATTACCGATCATAGTCTACTAGGAAATGCAGTTTCTTATTAGCGGGTACATCCCCGGGGTTTCCGTGTCAGCTGGTTCGGCCTACAGCCTCCCCCCAAACCACCCCGAGTCGCCCCGCAGTTCTAGCCACACTTCCGAGCCTAGTTTTTCCGTGGTCCTCGCCTAGCTGGGATATCCCCCCTATACTATCGTCAGCCTTTGCAATCATAACCTCGATATTAACTCATGCACTCAGTTTGTCCATTCATAACATTTTTAATATTCTCAAAATTATAAGCAAACACGTCTTTCTGGTTGAAGCTCGTGGACTATTTGCCTCTTACCAGGGCAACAGCCAGGCGACGAACGGGAATTGCCGTCGCGCGTCACGAGGAACCTGCGAATGAGCGCATGTGACGACAAACCAGAGAATCGCGCTGGAACGACTGTAAAGCGCGCCGGCAGCGCAGGCGGCGGACGTTGAGCGCACTCGGCAGAGCACCAGCGCGGGACTAACAGCGGC